ACTCTTAATTGTAAAAAAAAAACAATGTTTGTATATTTATGAGGTTCTGTTTTTCCTCAATAGCTAGGGGAAAATAAAAAAAAACTTGGATACTCAAGAAGATAAAACTGGGGGGGGGGACAAATGTTTGTGGGGGGGCACGGCCCTCCTGGTGGCACCCATCAGTCTCACAGAAAGAGTTTCCTGAAGCACGTCCTGATTATTCACACATGCTCCAACTTCTCCAGGTGATCAGAACCTGTTCTGAGCACAAATCTGAGACGTGTTGAAAACTGGTGATAATTCCTCGTTTCATAATCTCAAAATAACAAACCATCAAAGAGCTCCTAACTCTCCTTCACCTAATCCTGGCTCCAGCTCAGAACTCGTCTGTGTGGGTCGGGGGGCTGGATTATTTGGCAGGACTCAGCTGAGATTATTTTCATGTAGCCTCAGATTGGGTTCAGGTTTAAGGGTTGCTCTGTCACTTTACTCTGCTGAGAAGGTTGAGCTAATGAGAGGCTCTGATCCGTCGTCACGCTGTTTGAGCAGGAGGAATAAAGAAACAGTTATCAGAGATGATTCGGATCCAGTGTGCGTGGTTCTGTTCTGCTCTGAGGATCCTGAGGACCACACAGAACAACAGATGATAAACAGGCMGCATTCTTCTCCTTTGTGATGCAAAGCTGTTGCTTTGTCAGTTCTGTGCCGACTGTTTCTCCTCTCATGTGTTCAGCTACCGCCGTCTTTCTCTTGATCCTTTGTCTTTTGCTCTGTTAATCTGTCAGTCTCTCTAATCTGTCTAATCTGTCAAATCTCTGCTGGTGCAAAAGTTGATCTCTTTCTCTCGGAGGGATTTCCCTCCTCCAGATCRGAGAGCCTCTTGGCAGCATTCGTACCGGGGAAAGGATTTGTTCTCTCAGCTAGCTTAGCCTTTTTTTTATTCACACTTTACAGTGAATGAGCAGTTTAATGAGCCTTCTGAGACCCCCCCCCCCCCCCCAAAAAAAAACATCTTCTTTCATGGTCCCTGCAGAGAAACCCGGCCCGCCCATCAACGTGCGTGTCACAGACGTCTGGGGCTTCAACGCTGCGCTGGAGTGGAAGCCGCCCAAAGATGATGGCAACTGTGAGATTATCGGCTACACCGTGCAGAAACGTGACACGAAGACGAAGGTATGCATGGGGGTGGGGGTGGGGGGGGGGTATATGATTATGTCTCCTAAGTTCTGAAAACTAAAACCCAGGCAGGAAGAAGAAAAGTTTCAGTAGAGGGAGGTAAAGGGAAGGTTTAAAACAAACCTGAACTGAAGATGTTGAGATGCTGGGAGGGACAAGGATGGAGATTAGGATTAAGATRATCAGAAGTACAGTCCAGGATGAAGATACAGTTAGAGAGACCAGAKTGAGATGATGATTGTTGTGGAAATATTTATTTAACAAAGACAGAAATACTGGTCCAAGAATGGAGACACTCTGCTGCAACAACAGGAACACAGAAAACAACACAGAGTCATCAGACAGTCCCCCTGCTCTCTGCTCTCTGCTCTGCTCTCTTCTCTCTGCTCTCTGCTCTCTGCTCTCTGCTCTCTGCTCTGCTCTCTGCTCTGCTCTGTTCTCTGCTCTGCTCTCTGCTCTCTGCTCTGCTCTCTTCTCTCTGCTCTCTGCTCTCTGCTCTCTGCTCTCTGCTCTGCTCTCTGCTCTGCTCTGTTCTCTGCTCTGCTCTCTGCTCTCTGCTCTGCTCTCTTCTCTCTGCTCTCTTCTCCCTTCTCTCTGCTCTCTGCTCTGCTCTCTTCTCTCTGCTCTCTTTTCTCTGCTCTGCTCTCTGCTCTGCTCTCTGCTCTGCTCTCTTCTCTCTGCTCTCTTCTCCCTTCTCTCTGCTCTCTGCTCTGCTCTCTTCTCTCTGCTCTCTTCTCCCTTCTCTCTGCTCTCTGCTCTGCTCTCTTCTCTCTGCTCTCTTTTCTCTGCTCTGC